CGGGCTATGAACATTTCATAGTTTTTCTTTGTCAGAACGGAACCTAAATGCTAAGCCTCCGCTGATTGTAAGTCCACCTGTGCGATCGCCCGTCAGTAGTTCTTCTCATAAGTTGTATTCCTATTGTTGCTTTTTCGGACAAACACTTAAAGTGAAATTATAAAAATAACAGCATACATACTTAAAACATTGTTTGTTTTTCAGCTAATCCTAGTGGCTTTATTTCAATGTAATTACCTCATGAGATGGTACGGAACACTTCATGTTTAAATCTGATTCAAATTTGGCAGTATTGTGTAAAGTGACTTGATAATTGTGACAAGAAATAAAACCATTTATTATTTATTTATTTATTAAAAACAATAGAAACATTTAAATAACAAAAACTAATAAAGCACTTGATGTCTAAAATTTACAATTCATATTACCTTAATATAATTCCCATAAAAAAAATATGCTGCTTGTAATTCAGGAAGAGAATGTTGGTGAGTAAGGATTTTGAAGTTCTATATAGAACTTCACCATGGTAGGAGATAGGGTCAGGGTAGGTAAAGCGTGATTGTTAGTGTCTATGGTCGCTTAACATCTGGCGGACTATAATTTTCTTTATACTACATATGCTCGGAAAGTTCTTTCTTCTTGTTTTAAAAATAAATCAAAAAGGACCTCATTATTGTTGTACTACTAAGCGGGCTGGAAAAGTGTGTGGAAATCCGTTTTTAACGCGCTGTGCGGACAGAAAAGTCTATAGCCGGGTCCAGACCAACCGAGCTCGGCTCGCTAGCCACGCTCGGGCTTTCTGCTCGCAAGCCGTAGCACCCGAGGCAAATTTGAAAAGTTGCGAGCGTGCCTCGCAAGCCCGTGTGAGCCGGTTTGAGCATTCAGTTTCTCTCCGTATAACGATGGAAAACCACGTGTATTAGCTTAATAAAAATTTCAATTAAAGTTGTTTTTTATTTCCTAGCACTATATATCATCCCTCGACGAAGAGTGCTATTTCCAACTTGGTTTAGTACAACCCTTGGCCCTCAAACTACAACCTCGTTGGTAATCGGTCACTTTCTCCTCTCGGTGAACAATGTACTATTGCTACCCTTTTTGACGTAACAATTGTGAGAAAATAATTTGAGAGGGAGCGATATTTTCTCTGAGGAGCTTGATGGCCTAAGTGGCTAGCGCATTTGGCTGCGATCAATTAAGGTCAGCAAGTTTGACAGTGGTCGGTCCAATGACCGATCCCCATCAATGATGGGTGACCAAAACTTTACCATCTCGAACTCCTCCGTGCTTCGGAAGGCATGCTAAGCCGTTGGTCTCAGATGCATCTGCAGTCATTAGCATCCACCAATCTGCACTGTACCCGCTTGGTGGTTCATGGCCCAATCTCCCTATTCCATCCATATACTGAAGGCTTGTGACTCAGCAGCGAGGACATTAATAGCCTGATGCTGATAATATTTTTTCTAGTGTTGGATTAAGAGTGAAAATAAATCACAAAAAGAAGCAGTTGCCAACAAACAGACAATTTTGAAAACTGTTGGCAGGTGGGTTATGACGATAACTCCCATCACATTTTTTGGTTTAAAGAATAACATTTTCAAGTAAACAAATATTTAAAGTAGTATCTGTAATGAGTTTTGAGGAATACTATTTAATTTTATACCGAAGATTTATCAGAATTAATCTCACATAAAAATGAGGTGAAAATCAATCTGAAAAGGTTAGCAAAGGAAGATGATATTTATTATACTAAGTAAAGGTTAAAAAGTAGGAAAGCGCGTACTGATAGATAGTACACCATGCACCCTTGCATTGCACAGACTGCAAGCTCAACATTATCTATTCATAGCCGCCAGTCTCATCCATACGATCCTCAGTCTCGATCCAACATCCTAACTAGACGGCTGTCCCGTTCTAATCTTCCTGAGGCTCTAATTTTATTTAAATCTTTTTTCGTTTCGTGGGAAAGGCAAAGTCAGAGCCATGCAGCCATAGTCTTCATTTAAAAGTTTTTTGTGAAATTTTCATTTTTCCTATAAGGCCGAAGCCACTTCTTAAATCATAAAATATTTATCCTTAATAGTCCGTTTCTAATCCATTTTCGGTTCAGGTACTTACGAGTATTTTTACCCCCAAATATTCAAATCCGATTTTGAAGTTATCATCTTATGTGTTTAATGTCATGTAATTTTTATAGTTCCATTCGAGGCTCTAAACAGTACGCGAAATGACATTATCAACTAACAAGTTACAAGGATTGAATGAACCTAAATGTAAATGGCGTGTAGAGTCACATTTCCTTTGCCTCCCTCAAAATATAAGCATATTAAAACAAAATTTTAGTATTATATTTCACACAAATTAGTTAATTTATCTTTCGCTATTTTGATACTTTAACTCAGTATCAACATTTTATCTTTTCTTTCGACACGTGATGAATGTAAATGGTTCTAAATAAGAAACGGTATAAATGTACGCTTCTTTATCAGCTGTAGTAGGTATTATGTTTCAATCCTTGTAATTACCACTTATGTAGGTAAGTAGCTAACACAAATAAACAGATTGTTGAAGTGAATGTTGAATTTGATAAAAATGCATTTTTTTATAGCTAGGTAGTTAATGACTCTACCCCACCTGATGTTAAGTGGTGGTAAAGTCCATATACGAAGATAGCTGGTGCATTTACTTATATATTTATATATTTTTTCGAACCCCAACATTTACGCTATTCTACGCTTTTCCACAACGTTATACAATTAAATATTCTGTGAACACTTCAAGCGTTTACCTGTTGTTCTTATTAATGTAGAGCAAAAAACGGCAAAAATACCTTTGTTGTATGGGAGCCCCCCTTAAATATTTATTTTATTCTATTTTTAGTATTTGTTGTTATTGCGGCAACAGAAATACATCATCAGTGAAAAATACAACTGTCTAGCTATCACGGTTCATGAGATACAGCCCGGTGACAGACAGACGGACAGCGTAATCTTAGTAATAGCGTCGTTTTTACCCTTTCGAAACGGAACCCTAATCGTCATACATGATTATTGCGTAACTTTATTTTTTACGAAACGCACTCAATTCACAAAAGGGGTATTTTTTCCCGGTTTGGCAACATTTTTCATTAACACTCCGCTCCTATTTCTGTAGCGTCATGTTATATAGCCTTAAATGTTCCTCGATAAATGGACTAATCAACACAACAAAAATTTTCATCATGGCACCAGTAGTTTCTAAGAGAAGCGCGCTCAATCGTTTTCGTTTACGTTACGTGAATGCGTTACCAACGCATTCAACCAAACCAACATACAAACAAAACCTAGCGTGAGCCGAGCGCTAGAGCTCGGTTACGTCACTGCCACCGCGCGCGCCGACGCCACGCGGGCTTTTAGAAAAATTCGTATAGTAATTTGGTCATAACTTCGCCAATATTTGTCGTAAAACAAAAATATAAACACTGTATTTTATGGAATCATTAGCTCTATAAATCTGCATTCTCAACTAAAATTATTACCGATCCTCATTGGTCACGTGCGAGACGCCAATCACGACATGAAGGAATCAACGTTTGTTTGCGCTAAATTGGAATAATTTTTTGAAAGATGGTTCAATTCTCCTATTTGGGCAAGTCTCCCAATTTTTCCTCAATAATATTTTAATAAAAGTACGCAAGCGCATACGCCCAATAACATTATGAACGAACAAACTACATAGATTGAATAAATTAAATGTTAATGGCATATTTGTTTGGGAAAAAACTATTGAGCTGGTGACTAAGTTGACCAAACATTTGTATTTTTTAGCCGATAGAGTCACATATATTTCCTTAGGCCGCAGATAAGTCGATACGTAATCAGTGATAATACGTACACGATAACAGAAGCGTATGTACAGGTTGATGAAATTTTATTTGGTTATTGTAAAACAATTAAAGTATTAAACAAAATAACATTAAATAATAATGTGGCAAAAGGTAATCATTATTTTAAAACATCAAATAATACGAAAAATAAATAAAAAGTTATATAAAAAGGTTGGATGTAAAATATTTCCTTAGGCACCTACTTACAATAACTAACTTACTACTCATTTTAAACCAGGTAAAGGGAGGGCCAATCTTATTTCCAAAATAAATTATTACCCGAAACGAACGAACCACCACATCAAAACTGAACATGATGAAAAATGAACACCACTCTTCATTTTCTCCGTGTAATACGATATCTGACGGATAAATTTTATCCAAGGATTGCAAAATCAACCCCTAGTAAACTACCAGCAGAATATATATCCTAGTTAAGCAATGTTTTACTACACAAACTCCATCATATTTGTCATTCGAGGATCTGAAAAATAAAACGTACTTAGTCCAAACTTTTTCTTCGTCTATTACTAGGCGGATAAAACTATAGTCGCAGCATGCTATTATGGCCGTTTTGACACATTACAAACGGAATGGGAAATGTTAACTTGTTATCGAAAAAAATCTACAGTAATCCAATGCAAGTCTTAACTAGGTATTATTTTTTTAGAATTTTAACTAATACTGCAAGTATTGGCTGATTAAAAAAGTTGAATAAAACGAACATATAAATGTTAACTTTCGCTCATGCAGTGATCGTTTAGACTAAATAATTTTTGACATTTTTAATTTCGAAAAAAAAAGGCCGGTTATGTTGTGAATGGGGACACTATAATTATAATTATAAGATATAACACTAATTCTAAATGATAATTATAATAATACAGTCAATCAATTTATTTTACATTATTATATTTATATTATATTATACATCATATTTAAAATAATTATTTCTTTCAATTCTAGAACTTATTTTGAATAAGAAACTTTATGGGCGCACAAATGTCAAAACGGTCATCAGACGGTGCCACTACTTTAGGCTTAGTTTGATATGGTTATGTCGAAAAAAAGAAACAAAAAAATTCTAAACTTCATGGAATTCAAGTTTAGAACAAAACATCAATTCTAGTAAACTACCTTTATGTGCATAGTGGTGATAACAAAAATGTCACAGATAAGAAACAATTGACGAGTGATATTTCGTAGCGTCGTTTGGTAACAGCACAGCAACCTGTATTTTGTACAATGTAAAAAGGACGCACCCTCACGAGAACCAAAAGTTTATCATTACGTACAAAGCGTTTTCAGAGTATACGGTCTCAGTGCAATGGGCTTAGTTTCTTATGAAAGTATAATTACTAATTAACGTTGAACATTAAAAAGGTCATGTGAACAAGTGAATGAGTGAATGGATTGGTATAAAATGTGATATTTTGTTGTTTCTAATGGATCCAGGTAAGAATTTCATGAGCATATATCGTGAAGTATAGTAATGTTAAAATTAAATATTGCAATCCTTAAATTTATGTCAATTTAATATCACAAATCTTAAGTTTATTTGAATGAAATATGATGAACTTTAAATTTATGCCAATCCAATAAAAAGAAATATTTACGAAAGTAGCCTCTGTAGTTTTCCATGTGTTTTACAACATTTGCAGTACAGTAGATAACGGAAATCTTGTAACTAATGAGCTTAATTTTTATCGCAATAAATGCTTGCACAGTTTATTAAGGAGTAGCATGAACATAAAATAAAAAGACATATCTGTGATAATGAACTGGGAGCGGCAAAAATCATTGAATGTACTGCTAACATACCCTTATTTCCCCATTATCCTATCAAAATAAAAGCATATCTACGGCTAGGGTAGAATCAAACACTATTGTAAGCGATTTCTTGACAATCTATCTCTATTATTCCTGAACAATATCTTGGATTTCGATCCAAATATCTTGGAATTTAGTTAGCTAATATCAAAGGACAATGTTAAAATTGGCCTAAGAACCAACACCAATTTGGCATTTATGATAATTCTTAGTATATTTTTTGCGATAATTATCAGTATTTAGATTGTGACGGACACTTCCAGTTAAATAAGCTAAATTAAAAAGTTAATAAACAATCTGAGACAATAAATACCATTTTATGTGTATAATCTATGACAGCGCTGCAAACAAAAAACACTTTCTTCCTAATGCCGGCACTTCAACTGGCTATTCGTATCTGCTATTTAAAAACATGACATCAGTCTGTCCTTTTCATTCCTTATTAAGCATGACAAGGACAAACTGTTGTCAAGTGAAGGGCCGGCCTAAATTCGATACTCTGTGGTTGTGGTGCAGCAGTTTGCATTCGTAGTAATCTGTGGCATTCTTGCATTCTCGTCAAAGAGTACTTTTTATATAAAGAAAATTCTCGTTCGGATTATCTGTTGTGTGTGTTTATTTGCGATTGTTTTTCCTTAAATTTAACTATTACTATTTCGGCTATCTAATATGCCATCGATACCAAAGAGCAGAGACCTTATTACCAAGTGCTAGTGAACCTGTGCCACAACATCCTGAGAGGATCATACTGCCAAATTATTCAAGAGCACCTGATACACATTCACGCTGCATATTTACACAATATACATGTGTTATACAAATAAATACAATATGATACAATTATGTGAAAAATAGTCAATAATTAATAAGAAGCAAAACTATTGTTTTTATTTTATTCATGATTCCTACCTAACCAAGTTTTTCCTAATAGTTATTCTTTAAAATCGCACCGAATAAAATGAATTAGTTGTAATATTAATTCACTTCATACTGAGTTCATATTAAGTTCATAGGTTGACCTATGTTTCATTGAATATTAAACATAACCTCAAAAAATTTTTAGTTTTCCTAATAATTTAAGTTCTCAGAAGTGTCCGTCAATAATCTTTGTTTTTAAAGTCATTTACTTGCGATTTCGAACCTAGAAAATAATATTTCATGATTGTTGGTTCTTAGGCTAACTATGTATGGCCGCAGAACAATTTCCTTTGGTGTCATTGAGGTATGTCAAGGATACGAGAGTGCTAATGATATCACTTGAAGCTCGGATAATCTCGCGATGGTTATAACATATTATGTGAGCAGAATCTATTCAGTTAAGTGATAAGAGCTATCATCATATAGTGTCCTCCTTCCTACCCAGAGCCACTTTACATTATCATCCGACGACGACCTCCGTGGCCGAGTGGTTTGTACACCGGGCTTCATGGTGTCGCTGTCTCGAGAGGTCCCGGGTTCCGAATCCCGGTGGGGGCAGATGTTTGTGTGATGAATACGAGCATTTGTACTCCAGTCATGGATGTTTAATATGTATTTCTATATAAATATACTTATATATGTACAGTATATGTATTCTATCCGTTACCCTAGCATCCCATAACACAAGCCTTAGAGTGCTTACTTTGGGGCTAGGCTAATTGGTGTGAGTGTCGGAAATATTTATTTTATTATTTATCACTATTCAGCCATGTGATACCCCCTGCTTTTTAGGGTTCCGTCATCCTGACAAGAAACCCTTATAGTTTCGTAATGTCCGTCTGTCCGTCCCCGGTTTTGCTTGGAGAGTGTTAGCACTAGAGAGCTGTAATTTTGTGGGGATATGTATATTAAACACGCCAGCAAAATGGTAGAATAAAATTATGAAATATTTTTTTAGCGTAGATCCCCTACATGTAAACTGGGGATGAATTTTATTTTCATCAGCTACCCCATGGTGTGGAATATCGTTGAATAGGTCCTTTAAAATTACTTAGAGTTCAAGTAGCACCCCACCCCCCTCTCTAAAAGCTAAACTATTGATTCGAAAAACCTTATAAGAAACCGTTAATAGTGACATAGATGAAGTTATTGTAGCGTAAAACCTTGCAATGAAAAACAAAATCTAAAAAAACTATTTAAAAACCACAATAAAATGTCATTAGTTCCACAAAGCTACCGCGAGTACTAACGGTGACGACTTCTGAATCGCGCTATAAATTTTATAAAGCACTTGAAAAGATCGGCGGTTATCATTTGCATTTAAAAAAATATAAAGGACGAATTGATTTTGAGTTTAAGACGCAGTTTCACTTTGATTTAGGTTTTTAAGTTAAAAGATAAAGACTTCTATTAAAATATATTGTTTGTGGTAACAACAAGCAACTACGGAACCCTACACTGCGCGTAGCACGACGCGCACTTGGCCGATTTTTTAATATATCTTCACATCTATCTATCTGTATCTAGCGTTTTCCCGCGACCTTTAATGGATCAACGATCCATAAGGAAAATATATACGAATAATCTGTTATGAAAGAAGGAGAGAGAAGCAAAATATGAAATGGTCAGTTCCTGAGGTTTATAGTTAAGTTAAAGCTACAGACAGGTACAAAATAACACCAGCAAACGGAGAAGGAAAATCTTGAACATTGGGTTCTAATTTACGCTTTACAAGTAAATTTTATCACACCCACACCATAGATAACGAAACTAAAATACATTGTAGGTATACGCTATAGAATATACATAGATATTTATATCTTTCATCGGAGATGCAGTTATAATAAAACATAATTTTAGAAGTATGGATGATGCAAAAACCACATACGTGAAGAAATAGCAAATCAGTTGTTAGGTTAAATAGAAAAGGCAATCAACACGCCAGCATGCTACATAATTATTTAATTTTCTATTTCAGGTGATATTATACTAGTCACCGCATGGATGTGGCTTCTTCCATTAGTTGTGCAAGCTGGAACCATAAGGCGAAAGAGGGAAGAAAGGGATGACATTAGCCCTTGCCTCACTTATAAGTTGAATTCTCTCATACATATCGACTGCACAAATAGGGACTTGACTGAACTACCTGATGGACTGAACACAAATGTAAGTTGATAATGTCAAAGATCTGTAAAACTACGTGCTTAGTCTGCTAAATGGAAAATGAACACAATATTCTGAAAGATTGTCGAAATTCAATAAAACTTTAAGTCATGTGAGATTTATTAATAGTTATTAATTTTTGTATTTATTTTATTATGAAGATTCAAATATATTTATGGAGAAGGCATATTTCACTATAATTTTTATGTTACCTATATTAAATAATTGTTGAAGATGGACTAACTACTTTAATTTTAGTAATTACTTGTTACTTAAATTAAAAAATAACTAAGGATCAACTATTAGCAAATGCGGTATTGTTGAGGTGCCTATAGAATACCTAAGATTTATCTTAAAGTGCCTCATTAGCCTTTGCACGCCGTATTACTTTTGTATGTTTTTATGTATCTTTTCACTATTTTTTTATTATATTTTCAGGTCCAGGTTCTGTTGTTGTCAAACAATGACTTCATGTCTTTCCCATCGCAGTTAGAACAATTTACCCAACTTCAGATATTAGACTTCTCAGCCAATCACTTGAGTACTCCTCTGCCGAGCTACATGGAACGTCTCCACCAACTGCACACACTCAACCTGTCCAACAACAATTATGACGTCTGGATGACATCTCAAACCAAGGCCAGGAAATTAGATTTGTCAAAGAACAAGATCAACAACATAGAAGAAGGAGCATTTAATCAATTTACAGAATTACGACACCTCGATTTGTCTGAAAACCGAATCAGAGATTTACCACTCACGATGTTCCAGTCAACAAAAAATTTGGAAACTCTTCTATTGTCCAGAAATTATTTTTCGGTGATACCAAAATTCCAGTCACACTCGCTTAAAAGTTTGCATTTAAGTAATTGTCAAATTTCTGAAATACATCAAAATTCTATCGGTGAAATGGTTTCTCTGGTAGAACTGTTTTTGTCTATGAATGCAATCGAAGCGATACCAGACAATTTTAGTTCGAATACACTACAAGAACTAGACTTGAGTTATAACGATATCGATACAATTAATGATAATTCTTTCTCATCCTTACCGCATTTAGCGGTACTCGACCTGAGAGGAAACAATTTCAAAGAAGTTTGGTCGACCTCACATTTCGCCTCAAATCCGTTTTTGAGGGAAGTCCGTGTAAAGGGCAATCGATGGAGCTGTGAAGGGTTTCACTTGAACCTTTTGTTGACCTACGAATTTTTAACAAAAGATCCTCCTAAGGTGACAGATACGGGTTCATTGATATGCTATTCACCAGCAAACGTCACGCAAATGAGTTGGCAACAAGCATATATCCGCACGTGGCATCCCAATCAAGAAGTTATAGTGTCGTACACCTCATTGGCAGTGTTTATAGGAGTTATTATAGGAGTTATAATTACGTCATGTATTTGTCGTACTCTGATTCCATTGAGTTCTCCCGAACCAGTGCAGCAGACTACAGTTCTGAATGTCAATGGACCTAACCCACAGCCAACAGCTGAAACAGTGCTCTTAAGGGTTCCTTTGCATGAAGAAGATCTACCTCCCAGTTACGATGAGGCATTGCTAATGCCTCGGTTGAATTCTTCTTTCCACTCATTGCCTGATTTCGTCGAAGAAGAAGAAGAAGACAGGCGTCGATACCGCAGGTCAAGGTCCATTGGAGATCTCACAGAGCAGAGACCCAGAACACATGATAGACGATCTACAAGACGTACTTTGCAAATTAATACAAACAACAATGACAATGAATTTTAGTTAAAGGTTTTTTAACTTACTTTAAATTATACATTAGTTTTAATTTTAACTTAATTGTAATGATATTATAATAGTCTAATAAATTATTTAAATAATATTTAAAGCGATTTGTTTATTCGATATTTCACTGCATTTTATTATACAATTTTATTAAAATTAACATTGACCCGACTTTGAACTTAAGAAGATTTGATAAATATATGTCGGTATACATTACTGTAATGTTAATACAAAACATAAGTAAAATTTTCACCATGTGTAGGATAGGGTCTGTCGGGGTCAGCAATATGCGAGAGAAACTCTGTGGTCTATATGCAGACATAGAATTTCGCTACCATCTATATCTACCTAGTCCAGCCATACATTCCAAAGAACAGTTACAAATGAAAATACCTTTTTATCAATGAAGTAATGTCATATTTTTTAAACTTATACTTACATATTTTTATTAAATTCTCAGCAAGAGATCAAAAAAATTGTATTTAAAATGGCCATCTTTTGCTTTTATACAGGCCTTTAATCTGTTTGGCCACGAATTTATGGATTAGGCACTGTTTCCAAGGGCAATTTCGCCACTGCTTGCTCCAAAGATTTTTAAGAGACTCAATGTCGCCGTGTCGTTTAGAGCAGGTCATGTCCTCTAATACTGGCCATAATTTCAAGTCTAAAGGGTTGAGGTCTGTGTTAGATGAGGGCCAGTGTTCAGCTCTTATAAAGACCGGAACGTTAGTTTCGAACCAGGCTTGGGTAGTTCGTGCCTTGTGACCAGGTGCAGAATCCTGCTGGAAAGTCCACGGTATATTTTTAAAAAGCGGATAAGTGAGTGAGTATATTCAATATTTTAATTTCGTTCCACCGAATGTTCCACGACATACGACACGGGCATTAGTAACACAGTAAATCCTTGGCTATGTCTACAAGCTATTTCAGAATATAAAGCACAGGACGAGACTTTATTCATTGCGGAATTGGACTTCCGTATTGGTTAGTTTTTCGGGTTTTCAATAACCAAAAGTAAAGAGCTAGATGATTTCATATCTAATAGCGTCCACAAAAAAGAACTCTTCACTTCACCAGAAAAATAATGTAACCTACCCCACATACATTGTGTGCGTTATAATTTTCCGACATCCACGCGTACAAAGTCGCGGGCACAGCTAGTTCTATAATTATAATTAACTGTCTGACCCGGTGAACTTCGTACCGCTTAGAATAGAAGGATATCGATATTTTAAGCTTAATATACGAGTACAAAACAACTTAAGTAAATTAAAAAAAAAGTTGAATAGTTCAGTGGAATAATAATATTAAATAAAATTTAAATAAAATAAAAGTACACAATCGCTTTCTTATCACCAAATATGTTCCACTATGTGGTTGGTTTAGATTTCGAAGAATGAGCACCACTGAGCTAAGCTTCAGTTTTAAAAGCCTCCTCTTAGGAGACACCAGTCAGACCCTTTTCTGAGTTTAAGGGCGCTTTCAATTTATGCGTTTCTTGACGGCCTGCTGCGGCGCCGACAAGAAACTGTTGCCGCACCGCGCGTTTTGTGTGAAAAAAAAAGGATCGTCCGTACGCTGTACGACAAACGCAACGCTTCGGCACCGCAGCAGACCGTCAAGAAACGCATAAATTGAAAGCGCCCTAAAAGTCAATCCTATAGTCGGTGGCTATGACTTCGTCTGTTACACAATGAAGTGTATACTAACAAAGTGTTCCAAATTAAGAAGTTAAAATCATTCACATCGGTCTTCTTAGCCACCTAAAATTGCTCACTTTCTCAACGGTTTTTCAACCGACTTAATAAAAGGATTAGATTTATTACCTCAGAACTTTCGACTGGTTAAAGCGATTTTGATAATTCATATTTATTTGAAAGTTGATACTTTCCATGTAGTCCCATTTCAATTTGGTCCAGTTCTGAATAGAACAGTAGCATCCATGAGAAAACCTTATGTCTTAAATTTGCATTAAGTACTAGCAAACCCCGCGAACTCCGTTTCGCCACCAGATGGCTTCGTTTTATGTAACATTTCGTTTGGTGATTAAAAAAGTTTTTTTTTTTTAATTTTTCCTGAATTTTCTTTGCTATAAACCTCACGGAGCCCGAGACCTTTCCAACGAATGCAAAACCGTGGAAATCGGTTCGTGCGTTCTGGAGTTATAGCGTCAGGAAGGAAAACCCGACTTATTTTTATATAGTATAAGTATATGCGAGAACAAATGTGTCGTATATACGTGTATATGTGTGTGTAATAGCTCAATATCACGCCAACCGATTTTGATGATTCTTTTTTGTTTAGAAGAGTTTGTTGGCGATACGATCTCAGGTAAGTCAAACTCAATACAAATATGCAATACACATGCATGACGTGAGTTGTCAATGGCAGACGATGGCGGAGTAACAAACGCAATCTATATCAAATCTTATTATTCGCATTATTATTTATTCCGTGACTTTTCCAATACCTATTTAATTAGTAATTCTGCTATTCCAGGGAGAGAGGAATCCAAAAAATTAGAACCTGTTAATATCTGCCCAGCCGTTCTTGAGTTATAAGTATTATAATAAAACGACTTTGTTTTATACATATAGATTTTTAATCGTCATAAAAATGACTGAAGATAAGTAACAAAACGAGAACAAAACAATAAAATTAATGTGATTCGGTAAGTAGCGACACCTATTTCAGATCTAAGGGACTTATACACTGTTTTTCTCGAAGACAGCACTTCTGCCGCGCTTTACCATTACATCACTAGATGTCGTCTAACAAATGACATAAATCGTAAGTTAATTTGTTAAGTTAGTAATAGTAACAGGTTGCCAACATAATGCAGGTATCTCTGATTATGATAAGTGTTACCATTATTCCACAAAAAGGGACTACAGGAAGAGAAAACTGCTAGGTACAACTGTGTAAATCATCAAGTTTATTTTTAAGCTTTTAGGAACTATACGGAGCAGCTGTTGGTGCATTATGTGATTACATTTATTCACCACTAGCAAACCCGGCGAACTCCGTTTCGCCACCAGATGGCTTCGTTTTATGTAACATTTCGTTTGGTGATTAAAAGAAGTTTTTTTTTTAATTTTTCCTGAATTTTCTTTGCTATAAACCTCACGGAGCCCGAGACCTTTCCAACGAATGCAAAACCGTGGAAATCGGTTCGTTCGTTCTGGAGTTATAGCGTCAGGAAGGAAAACCCGACTTATTTTTATATAGTAGAAGATTATAAATAGTTACATATCCCCTATCTATAAGTATTTAATATATTCATTAATATCTAGTCAACTGCAACCAACTTAAACTTATAACAAACGAGCTAAATACATTGCTTGTTTTATCGAATCTCAAGTCACAACGATACTAAAGAAGTTTTCACTTCAAAAATGATTGTTAAATATTCAATAAATGTGATTTTCATTTATAAGATGTATTATTTCTTACCTTTGTAGTATGTACTTACTTTTCATTAAATTGTCCACTCTACAACTACTAAAGGTATACTCTATGGATAAGAAAATAAATTAAACGTTGATGTTCGATTGGAATTTATAACAGAATTTAAACGCAATTGCTATGAACGTAACATACCTATCTATAAATAAAATATCATTGCATTTATAGATAAAATTGTAATAATAGTTTGAATTTCGAAATCACATAGAAAATGTTGGATTTCGTAGATGTTGGAGTTGGTATTGAAAATAACAGTCGATTTTCAAATATCTTTGATCCATATTAACACAGTTTCGTTGTTATTAGAAGGTCATAAAGAAGAATTACGCATTGTATACATAGGAAAACATATCTGGTTTTTTGTTTTTAAGCGAATAAAAGGGCAAGTATGTTAGGAATCAGTTGGTTTGATCGTTCATGAGTATAAAAGTTTGATCCTTATTTATATAGTTCCTTACTTGGGGCAATTAAATTTTCCCCTTAAATTCTTGAAGATCTCAGTAGAATCTTACTTACTTTTTTGACCCCTCTCCTCTCTTGTCATTACCATTTATATGCTGACAACCTGCAGATTTATTCACAAGCCTCTATTGAAAACTTAGACGAAATGATTGCTAAGCTAAACGCTGACCTTGAGACCATTCACGAATGGAGTAGTGCCCATGGCTTGACAGTGAATCCTCAGAAATCTCAGGCGATCATCCTTGGCGGATCGAAGCAGATAGCCAGGCTCAATTCTAGTATTATTCCTCCTCTTCTATTTTCCTGTACCCCTTTTGTGCTAATGTCAAAAACTTGGGTGGACTTTTTTAAATGCTGTCTTGTCGTGGTCGCCTCACATTGCTTAAGTCAGCAGAAAGATGTTCGCTGCTGCCGGTTCACTGCGGAGATGGAGGAACTTGCTGCCTGTGGGGACCAAGATCCAACTTGCGCAGTCACTTCTTTTGCCTATTCTGGATTACGCTGATATCTGCACTATTGACCTTAATGAGGATCTGTTAAACAAGCTCGAGCGTCTTCAGAACATTTGCATTAGATTTATTTATGGATTGCGCAAGTTTGATCATGTGGCCGAATACCCATCCGACTACGACGTGAAGAGCATGTTTTCACTCTTCTGTACAACGTTCTGTATGATCCTCGCTCTCCTCCCTACCTTAAGGAACGTTTCTGATTTCTAAGTACCGATCACGTGCTCAACCTTAGGTCCAGGACAGACAATTTACTTAGGACTCCATTTACTCGATCTGGATACTTTGGGGATTCATTCACTGTCAAGGCTGCAATCTTATGGAATAACTGTCCATCAGAAGTCCGTCACTCGGCATCACTTACAACTTTCAAGAACCAGCTTCATGAACATCTTTTATCAAGATCCTAGTTTGCAACATATAACTTATATGTGTAGTGTATAGGTATATATTATTCTATTAATATTATGTTATACTTATATCAGTACCTATAAGCATAGTATATTCTTATTTATATAAATATATATGTAGGTGTTATGTTTTGTATGTATTTTATATAATATATTATATATTGATATATATTTATTTCTATTTTTATTTTGTTTTATATTTTGCTGGCACATTACTCTTCTATCTCTGTTAATCTATCCTTCGACTTAAAGGTTGTCTGGAAGAGATCGCTTTCAGCGATAAGACCGCCTCTACCCACCATAGTTGACTATCTGTTTTGTAAACTCTTTAATTGTGTATGTGTGAGTAATAAAGTGTTTATCTATCTATCTATCTACTTAGACACTCTAAAACTGAGAATTAAAGTGTAGTATTTCTTCTGAATGTACGTAAAAAACAGTAGAAGAACGACACCAATGACGACATAACATCCATATTATGTCAAATTACTAATGAATAATTGTTGGGGTCTAAAACAGACCCCTGCACAAAATTTTGTTCTTCACTTTTTTTCTTAATCTGGAATATAAATAGATTTATAATTTAGGTTTACTTTAAAAAAAACAGCTTCCTGATAATAAAATCTTTTGTTATCTCAATTACCTTCTTTAAATTAGCAATGTTTATAAAGTATACTACTAGTCGTTGTTAATTTGAGCAAAAACAAAACTCTAAAGGACATCGACGAAATCGGCCCTAGCATGCCCAAAAGAATGTCCTTCACTATTATTTTTATATTATTTTTTTAACTTATTAGCAATAAATCATTGTAAACGGACAATCTGCTTAAGAAAATAAAAAATAAAAGTTCTGTTACTAGATACTCAGTCTGTTCATCCAACTTGGCACTCCTTTTTATTGAAAATACAGCATTAAAAATCAACTGATAACTAGATTCAATAGGTTTCAGTCTATAATAACGATTTATTTTAATAGTTTATTGGCATCGTTAATATTTTATTATTAAACGGGTGATTCTGTTAAAAAGTTGTGTCAAGATTGTTTACCTTAATGAATGCAATATAGGCGACCATAGGTATTTATCAACATAAAAATAGAACTAGGTACCTTAGTCAATAATAGTTATTACTAGTATTTATATTATATTTATAAAAAGATTATTGCTGAAATTATGTAAATATAGTTTATACTCCCATCCCATGTAATATCTGTTTATTTTTATGAAAATCATATTGATAACCAGGTACATACCTAATTACCGATAGTAAAATATAGAAACAGGTAAATGGAAAGACTGAACATTTCATTTGAAAAGAAATCTATTATTACCTACTACAGGTAGGTATAGGTATCATAGGTGCCAACTGACAACACTCATAAATCAATATGAATATAAGCATTTATTATTTTTATTATTAATTGCATTTTATGTTCATTTAATGCATATTATTTCAGTGCTTACATAGAGGTAAAAACTAAATCTATTCAGAATATATAAAGTGTACATCTTTTACGATTAAGTATAATAATCATAACCTCAAAATCTAATACATTCTGTAGTAGGCCACTGTTCCTCAAGTTGTCCGTATCTCAACAAATGCTTAATTAGAGTTTATGAATGATTCCGAACACAACTAGCATTTTCTCATTGCTGGGCGTTATAGGGCATTCAATGTATGGGGAACGAGCAATGTCCTTTTTTCTAAGTGTAAACAAGCGTAATCTTATAAAAACCAATCACTGCCAGAAAAACTTGAACGGCTAATAAATTCTCTACGATTGATATGGATCTTTGGCCGTTTTATAACTAACCAGGTATAAAATAGTACCTATTAACAGTTATCCCAGTATTTCTTGGAAATCGTGTAGTCACAGATTATGGGCAGCACTTTCGCCATACTTTATCTTTATCAAATGATAACACGTCATCATTCATTTTGTTTCACACAACATACTAGGGTGGACGCGGTGCCGAGCATTCCCAAAATAACATAGATGTTCTGTTCTCATTGTTATGTGATTAGACATTATGATTAATTCAATCAAAGATTTATTCCATCAATATTTAATAAGTGTATAATTAATATAATCGTTATAAAACTGCCAAAGTAGTTCGTTTTCTAGTGTTACGGATTTAAGAAAAATAGATTAATTACAGTTTATGTGATGCATGTAACGAATAATGTGAACTTATAATAGCCGGTATGTATAAATAAACAATTTTATATTTAGCTAGTTATCTGAAAGATAAATCTGAATCATCATCGAGTCCATATTGTTAATTGAAGTTTGTAAAAGGTTTTTAATCATTATTCCAAATGAATACAACCAAATGAAAGTGTTCTCAAATTATTAAGATCGATTCAAAAAAATAGACTCTACCTTAAATACTCTTCAATGTTACCATTGTTTCTTTTTTAATTATAATTGCTATAAAATAGAAATGGTAATGTGACTAGTTTTTTTATTTAAAATTCTAGTTGGTTTTATAACTAAGTACATTTTTTATGTAACAATATATCTTTTTTATTATATAATACATCATTACAACGATGTAGTGCCGTTATACCTTTAGTGTCAGTTTTTTATCTGTAATGAATAGATTATCTCACCTTGTGTAATAACAGATGATAAACATAAAAACTCGTGCCAATAATCCAAACCAACAAAATTATCAAAAACTCTAATTCCCATATACGTTAAAATTGCATAAAAAGGTATATTGTTCTACGCAACTTGGAACGACCCAAATTTTGTTCCACAACCTACACCTTTATCAATAACAGATAACAAAGATAAAATTGTTGTGGTATTAAACAAGCTTAACTTTAGACACAATAGTGATTTAGAACAAGGTACGCCCTATTCATTTTGACCGGTATACATTGCATGGTCAGAATAAAAATTAGATGTCTAAACTGCGCAGGTGTTAGCTACTTCCAAAAAAGATTATCCGTTCTATATTCTCGTAATAAATAATAACATGATGTGTCGCATTAACATTCGATTATCATTCACAATATTTCAGGCAGTAATGAAAAGACAGCGTGATGACTGTACTACTAACGGCGTCGATTCTGCTGCTATTACTAACTGTTATAAGAGCAGAAGTTTTGGACTTCGACGATAAAAACCAAGATGACATCTGTTCGCTGTGCACCTGTAAATTAGACAAAACAGTAATTGATTGTTCACGTAGAGGTCTTACTGCACTTCCAGATGGTATTGACGAAAAGGTATTTATTTCCTTGTGAACTAAACAAAATAAATGTAATAAATTTAGTTGAATGGATAAGCAAATTCTGTTATTTATGTTACAGGTTACAAAGCTCAACCTTTCCAATAATGAGATTACAATGTTTCCAGAAAATTTAAATAAGTTATACAATTTGATTACATTGGATGTCAGCAATAACCGTCTGAGTGAATTGAACAAATATGCACTATTCAATTTGAGTTCACTGGAAGTGTTGGATATATCTAGAAATTATTTTGAAAACTGGCTTAACCTAAGCCCAAATGATCTCTTATTGCCTGCGATGAAACTTAAATCTTTAGATCTATCACATAATAAGTTCAGATCTATGGATAATCTAGTCAATCAGCAACTGCTAATAAGTTCTTCGCTGGAAATTTTGATTTTAGAGTACTGCGAAATAGACTCAATTTCTGGTAAATCTATCCTAAGTGGGTTGACGAATATAAAAATTTTGAGATTAAACTTTAACCCCTTGGTAAAAATACAAGGGCTGGTATCTTCAACTTTGAAAAGTTTACACCTAAGTAATTGTCAATTGACAACAGTAAATCAAGATGAATTGGCATATTTACCTTCTTTAATCTACCTAAAAATGTCACACAACTATCGATTAGAATTAGCAGCCTCTACGTATACACTGTACTCAGCCTCTCTAAAATTCTTAGATATATCTTACTGCAATGTTCTTCATACAAGTCTACAAGGATTCCCCAACTTAAAGAAGGCAATAATTAACCACAATATGATTAGATACTTACGAAGTTATGAATTAAGAAATAACACAAAACTGGAATACCTTGATTTGTCATACAATAACATTGGATCTATGCGAGTTGACACATTTAAGGGGTTAAGTATGCTCAAGTTTTTGGACCTGTCTTGGAACCAAATAGCATCTATACCAGAAGGGACTTTGTCAGAAATGCCCTCATTAACTCAGCTCAAATTAGCTAGAAACTATATAAGTCAAGTTGGACACATGAAATCAACATCGATAACAGTCTTAGATATAAGTTCGTGTGAAATAAACACAATAAGCAAAGATTCTTTAGAAGGATTGCAGTCACTTATTGATATAGATTTGTCACGAAACCTTATATCACACATCCCTGACAGTATTTCGTCAAATACACTAAAGTATTTAAATTTGAATTACAACAGAATAAGTCATATAAATAATTTAACTTTCTTCATGCTACCTCGTCTGACACAATTAGGTGTTATAGGTAACCGTTTCACTAATATATGGAAAAAGTCATATTTTGAATCAAATCCCTACTTAGATAGATTAGACTTAAGCGATAACATGTGGAGATGTGACTGTAGTGACCCTAACATGTACGATTTCTATGAATTTGCAACATTAGAGCCTTTCAAAAAAGAAGAATCATTTAATCTTGTGTGCAGCAGTCCGATAAACTTGATTAGTCAAACTTGGTTAGAAGCTTGTTATTTTACTTGGTACCCAAGCCAGAATGTAGCCAACGCTAATAGTTTAATATGGTTTATAGTTATAATGATAACTGGCTTATCTTTTTGTATTTTATTGGTAAACTGTATTCGTAACTCAATGAAACGACGCTTGCTTGCGATTCAACAAGAAAGAGAAAGACAAGTCGACGAAGCTAGGCAGAGGTTAAGGGAATTAAGAATACGTGCTGAACAAGAATCATTGACAAATGCACCTGATCCTCGCGATCTCATTTCACCTCCATCATATGATGAAGCTCTCTCAATGCCTAAGTTGAATGTGTCAACACATTCCCTCTGTGAAACAGGTACTGGTAAAACTAAAAGAAGAAGAGGTCGCAGAAAAACAAAATCCAGTGGTGATCTGTTAGATGAAACAGAGAGGAATGGCGATTTGCCTGTTTTGGACGATACGGAACCAACTTCAGATGACACCAGAAGGCGCCGGCGTAGAAGACCTAATAGATACGGTAGCCATGAAATAGCAGAACTAGATCATTCCCCAGGGGCTCGACGTAGGCGAATGTCTGAAATTGGTGCTGAGGAATCCGTTACTGTGGAAATAGAATTGGAAAGACCTCTTCGTCCAAGGAATCGAAGATATTCTAGTGACGATAATGAAGTAAGAGAAAGTGATTTTTAAAATAGAGTAACATTATATAGGCGAATATAATTTTGTATATTGCTATTATTTTAGAATAACGTAATTATTTAAGTTTATAGTAACAATTTCGTTGTATCTGTTTCTTTCAAAGAATTAATTTATCATAAAAATAAAATCTGTTCAATATTTTTGTCTGGTAATTAATTTATTAACTGTCCAACAAAGAAACAAGATATATTTGTCGGAATACAGTATTTTCCTCTTGCCTTTGATTTTTGGATTACTTTTTTATATAAAGCTAGGTAGGCTAATGACTCTACTACCCCACCTGATGTTAAGTGGTGATAAAGTCCAGACTTCGCAAATATGATGCTGATTTATTATATTTTATGCATTAAATATGTTCGATTTAATAAAACCCTAATGAATCTTTTGTTTAGATTTATGATGTTGATATTTGTAATTTCCTCCAAATTATGTACTTCTAATAAAACTGGATAAAAAAATGTTCGTGGTTGTTAAAAAATGCTAGCGACATCTGTGAACACTTTCTGGGATTGCCATTAAACTTATTACAGCCAATAGTTAACCAACTACCGAGTAGATGGCGCACATAGTACATTGCTAGGTAGTGTGCGATCGTGATCCAGGTACGTTATTATTCTCAGGTTATCCGGATAACTACAGTACGTACACCCTTTTTTGTTTTTTTTTTAAGATAATCCCACCTGATGTTAAATTGGTTGAGTTAGTAACTGTAGGTATGTTTTTTTATCATCATATTTGAAATATGCGGGCCGTATCATCATATTAACAAATATAAATATAATTATGTCAGGCAGTTAATTAATAGAAAAAGTAAAAGGGCCGAAAATTAAGAAAGCTAGGTAGGGCAAAGCGGTTTTTCCGCTCGAATTGGAGAACCCGTCTGAGGAAGTAGCCGCCACCTTACGGAAGATTACAGTAAAATAACAGTACCTTTTGATGATGTTGTGTTCCTGTCGGTGAGTTAAGTCCAGGGCTCCACGGGGTAGAGGATTAGGTCGGCAAAGCGCGAGTGATGTTTTTGGTACCGCAATCAACCTACTATAGGTTATGGTGGCCGCTTACCATCAGGTGGGCCATACGTTTGTTTGCCACCCTTTTAACATAAAAAAATTAAGCTGATTTTCGATTATATTTTTATAAAAATACTAGCTGACTCAGCAAACTTCGTACCACCATAAAATTAGGGGTTGGCGGTAGAAGGGTAAAAATTTGGGTTGTATGTATATTTTAATACCACATTACTAAAATATTTAAAAAATGATGTCTAAGAAACAAAAAATAATGTTAGGGGTGTGAACCTTTATTACTTAGGGGTATGAAAAAAATATAGTAGCCGATTCTCAGACGTACTGAATATGCATATAAAATTTCATAAAAATCGGTCAAGCCGTTTCGGAGGATATTACTTACTTACTATAGTAAATGCTCTGGAAATCTTACTTACTACATGGACTCAATAAAAGACAGCAATGTTATATGGATGCAGTTATCCTAACTCTGGCATACGAGTCATTCTCTTAGAACTAAAAACTTTAAAATTTAATTTCACAACAGTCTCTCCTGCCCTTCTGTTTATAGTATAAGAAGTATACACTATGGTCAAATTAAATTATAGGTTTAGAAAATCATCCTAGTATAAGGTTTAGGGGTGTATTAAGAAAGGATATTTAAAAATTCCCCCTGAAGGGTTTTAAAATGAAAGCTTCTATGAAAAAAAAATCCTTGAGTTAATAGACTTCAAACTTGCCACGAATACTTATCCAATTAAATTATAGTTTGTCGTTTTTAGTTTTAATAAAACATCCCCTAAAAGGGGATTAGGGAGATATCATAGTTTTAAATGGATGAATTGTAACGCACAATTAACTCGAAGTTTGATATTTTTACTAATGACCAGAGATAAAGAATAAAGTGTATCAGTGTTTTTTTGGAAATTTACCCCTAAGAAGGTAAAAAAGGAGATGAAGGGTTGTATGAAAAATCTTATTCTTTAATTAATTTCTGACCTTTTGTCACAGTGGCACCAGCTAGTAACGATAGTTTTTCTAAACATCATCATTAGCCTAGCCCAAAGCACCCAATGTAAGGCACGATTTCATACAAACATCATTTTAGGATATAAGCTATCAAAATATTCTGTGGTGGTCCAGTGGCAGCTTTTGCCTCGACAAGGGCCTTTAAAAATCGTAAAAAGTGAAAAATATTTGGAGCAGGATGAAACCGCTACCAAAGGGAAGTCACAACATGAATAAAAATAGAAGAAAAATAAATAACGGGCAATTTGAGGTCAAGAATATTGGGACGAAACGGTTTATCACGATTTTCAGGAAAAAATCTACAAATTTTGTATTTCTAGATATATTATTATTATAGATCTTTTGATTAACTATAATTTTGACATTGATATTTTTTCGATTGCCCTTGTCGAAACAAAATCTACCATTGGACTTGTACAGAATATTTTGACAACATATATCCCAAAACGGCATTTGTATGAAATCGTGCCTTACAGTGCTTACTTTGGGTGCTTTGGGGCTAGGCTAATGGTGGTGTGAAGAAAAAATTACTTCACGAGTTAATTTCGCTATGACAGGAAATCTTTTGCATTTTAATTTCCAATAGAAACCTGTGCTTGCTCAGATTAAGGAATGGAAAAAGGATAAAACGAAACGAAAAATTTCATCAACCATTTATATCGAATAGTTTCAAATAAAAATACATCATTATCTTTCTTAAAATTCACAATGAATCCTTACTATTCTACTTTGTTCCAAAATTCTTACTTACAGATTCAGGTTCTAAAATTATAGCATATAAGTTACTCAACCATTTAATCTTTAAATGGATGAAAGCGAAGCTTAATAGAATATTTGAATAGGAAATAATAGTTAGTTATTACACAATAAAATAACTTTTTAAATTAAATAGAACTAGAAAATATACACGCTGATAAACGAAGTTCAATTTACACATCACAAGCAGAATTTGTAGCTTAAAATAAATGGTATCACGTTCTTAAAATTAATCAATAAAATTACTTAGAGAGGAACTTACGTTTAGCCAGACTATAGAAGTGACCTCTATAATATACATATACGCTGAGATAATAAATATAGACTGATCATTAATTCTTATTTCGTTGTTCAAAAACTTCATATATTTCTTTTGCGGGTAAGTACACAACCATATATTTTCTATCAAGTGGAAAATAGTACTAGGATTTGATACAAATAATTGTATTTTGACAGTAAACATTTGGAAATAGTGCATCGGCCAAATCGTAAACGTTTTCGTAGTAAAATTACTAAAGAAACACCTTTATTACTATCATGAACATGGCAACACTTTTACACGTATAAAAATATTTCTTACTTATTTCACAATTATTATACTTTCATAAATATTTATACTAATAAAATATTAAAATAAAGGCACTGTCGACTACATACACACTTTGGCAGCAAAGTTTCTAGACACAACATTCATACAGTACTATTCAGTCCTTCGTAAAAGAATCCCTTGGAATATGCACACAATAATCACAGAATTTAGCCAATAGTGAAGTATTCTTGTTTGACACCAATTTATATTCGCACACTAACTACTTACTCCGTTAGTCCTTAATATGAGACCTGATTTCAAGTGGTAGATTTTCTTGTGTTATTAGCGTCCATTGGAGTTATAATGATATCTCCAGCATTTGACTTACTCCTGGTGACTAGAACTGGTGTTTTAGGCTTAGGAGTTTCGGCCATCTTTATACGAACCCTTCCCATATCGGGCGAATAAACTGGTACATATTCTCGTGTAGGTGACAAGAAATCTGAATCCGTATTTTGGTCCCCATTAATTAAAGGCTGGGATGCATTTGCATATAGATCAGGATCAATGTTACCATTTAACTTTGGGTTATCATCATCTATTGTAGGCACAAAAATTTCCACACTCGAAAGAGAACTAGTATCTTTTTGAAAGTCTGGTGAAGATTCAAATGACGTTTCTTGAAGTGGTAAGCGATTGTCTTCTGCTAAGTTATTGTCTTTTGAACTACTTTTATTTTGATTCGAGTCTCTGGGGCTACCAGTTCTACTATCATTATTGTCATTATATGTTTTTCCATTAGGCATATCACCATTTTCAGTTTTTTTAAGTGGCGCCTCATGGGTTGGTACTAATTCATATTTACCATTTATTTTCTTTTCAATAGGAGGCTCAGCAGCAGGTTTGCCTAATAAAGACTTATTCATATCAACCATTTCTTTTGATGCTTTTTCTACATCTGGTTTCTGCTGTCTTAATAGTCTTCTATCTCGACGCTTTCTCATCTGCCCTTTAATTATTGCAAACGCAATAAGACCAACTAATAGAACCACAATTATAGCTATACAAACATAAGTTCCAGTTTTATGAGGAGGGGTTTTATTTACTGTTGAAGCTGCACCGAGATTTTCTGAAGCTTGTGTTACTCTTATATGCTCTGAAATTGTCGTATCTCGTGAAACTGGTGTTACAAACTCAGTAACATCTGGAGACTCTGTTTTCAGATACCAATCAGGGTCCCCCTTGTAAACTGATGGTGCTCTAGGCATTGGAAATTCAGTTGAAGATAAATTTACTTCATCGGGAATCCTTTCCACCGGTGCAGGGATAAATTCTGATACTGGAGTAATCGTAACCTGTTCCATTGTTTCTGTAACTGTGGATTCATCACTATCTTCGATAAATACAGGGATATCACCTGAACCAGATCCTTGACCAGAACCTTCCAAAGTATCTTCTGTATTATGTTCATGATTATCAGGTATAACTTCATCTGATCTCATGATCGCAGCGATATGTTTAACGTTCTGCAGAGGTTCTATCTCATCGTGAATCGTTGAAGATTCAAACTCTCCCGATCCTTCAATTGTATCAAATCTTGGCGTAGATCGACGTGAACGATCAACTTTCATATACAGATTATTATCATCATCTTCAGATGTTTGGCCCAATATTACGGCACCGACATCTAAATCACTATTTGAGACTAATGACTTGGATTTTAAAACAGATGCTTGTTCACCAATTTGTATTGCATTAATAGGTTGATCACCCATCATCATATCTAGATACTTCGGTTCACTTTTCTGTTTACATATATCTTTTGTTTTAAGTTCTAACCAAGAACGACTCTTAAGTTTTATAGGAAAAGCACATTCGACTTTATCAATAAAAACGTTTGCAAGAAGCAAGCGGTCTCGTGCTATTATGTTTTCACATGAACAATTCAACGGGTTACCTGTAAGTTCTAGGTGTTCCAAGCTAGCCAGGTGTTCCAAATTCGAAGGCACATCTCGCAACAGATTATTAGATAAATCTAGAGAACTGACGCTCTTTGGCAAATGGGAAACTGATAGTGTTTGTATTCTGTTATGAGCTAAGTTCAGATGAACTAATTTTTTTGCATTATGAAGGAATTTATGTACTTCAGTAATACCATTCGTCGATAAATCCACAATAACGACCTCTGTTAGACGATCAAGCTCATGGGTTAGCTTAGTGATGTTATTGTGTGACAGATCCAAAATGTTGATGTTGTGGTGTTTCTGCCTGAGAGTGTATTTATAGAGTTCAGCAAGATTACTGCAGGTAGCGCGATGGAGTCCATCACGAGTAGTGCTGCAGACACAGCCACCAGGGCACAAACTGGCCAAAGATGGAGCCAGTAGCAAGCAAGCCGAGAGAACAGTTGTGTAAGTCCGCAGCCACATCTTGAATTGATCTCAGGACCTGCAAATAGAATAAAACGAATATTAATAAAATAAAATTTCATTTCTATCAAACCGCTGTTAAATAATAATAATAGGCGTTTCTATACTAACGACTTAATGACTCAATGTTAAATATGTCCACGTGTATTAATCGCTAATCTATTAGTGGTCAAGCTCTTATATCAAATTTCAGCCGCAAATGTATATCTAGAAATTTACATGTGTTTTTATAAACAGTCAGCGTCATTATGTTGAAAATATGATTTCCATAATTTAGCTTTTTTTCCTGTATATATTAATGTACATATATTAAAAAAGACATTTAGACTTTTTGCTTCCCCCCATTTAGCTTAATTTACATCGGTAGGCGAAATATGATTTTCCGAGCATTTTGATAAACTAACACAGTTAAAATATATACATATATATATTTGTGGCTCGTTGGTTGTAGCCTAAGTATAGAAGCTGGCTTTATATATGCCAGGTACAAGAACTGCAGAAACCTGTACATCTAATACAGGAATCGCTAGAGCAGGTTCTGTTAAGGGACCGGGCTCAATATAGGCAATTAAATAAATCACAACATCCTTACGAACTGCCATCTAAATATAGGACAGAATAACATACGAGAGCTCCCCCGCGGTCTATTACATGCTCCAGTTCAATTATTGCAACTGCAGCACACGGCAATTTGAATCTACCGACTTCCTTTCGTTCATCGTTTGCTAGCCTGGACAACGCTTTAGACATCTTTCAATCTTCATACCAACTGTATGTATCTATTGATTGTATTTTTATGCCACCTTACGTCGCCGAAACTATGATTTCAAAAGAAGAAAAAAAGAAGTGTTTTCGTAATTCTTAGTGAATGGCTCAGCAAATAGTACGACTGTCCCATTCAGAAATCTAGTTAGGAACATTTCTTACATAATCTATTGTTACAAGACATAATATTGGTAACCTATTAATTCGAAAACAGACTTATTAGAAGCATCGATACCTATAAATTTAGCCTCCATGTAATTCATCGTATTATTATTAGTTCTAGGCTGAATACGAAGAAAAAGAGAAAATGAAAACAAAGTTAATGCGCTTTCCAGTAAAGTTAAGCTAAAAAGTCCTTCTAGGTCAAGTAGCCCAAGCGCGAATAATGATTACAATAAAAAATTACAGGAAAATCCATCATAAAAATATGGTACTTTCATATAGTTATTATTATGAGCTTTCATATTAAAATACAGAAAACAAAAAAAAGGGCAAATGTTTGTCAATTCACTGTCAAAATCACGTGGATGCTTATTTTGTCTAGTGGTGTCGCTCTGGTTGGAATCGGTACACAACAAAAAGTTCTATTTTTGTCCAAATAACATCCTCAGTGCACTTGGCCGCCACTCAGGGCCGAAGTGGTTCAATGTTAGGCCAACAGGAAGACGGCTGTTAACCATTTGTGCTAATGCGGCGACGGAGACACCTAGCGAAACACGCGCTCGGGGGCGTAGTCGGACCCCCAGTTATTGCTGTGCAATTTCTTTTTTACGTTCTTAGTTTAAACCTCAGACCAAGAAAAAAGTCATAAAGACAAAGTCAACATAAGGTTTTAACCAAGACTAACTTCTGTCCACGTTTTGTAGTAAGGGGGTGAGACTTCAACAAGAAAAACACGATGGTTTACAGTTCACGGGCAGAATATTTCGAATTTTGGATCTGGTTTAGAAGTAAGAGTGAAGTTTAGGGTACTTTTCACTTGAAAACATTAAGCTTCCAGTGGATGAAAATAATATTATACCAAAACTGTTTGAATTACTTAAACATTGGAAACCACTTTAAATATTGTATAACAAAGTATACTCTTGAATTTAATAAAAAATAAAAGATTTGTATATATCGTACATTAAAATATACGGCATCCCATCCCCGTAGCATGAGCACCTCAGTTTACGGTATATCACGTTTTTTATCGCGTCTAACTGTCACCCTTAATAGTAATTTTACACTTAATCGTGATAAAAACGAGTAATATATCATATCGCGGTGCTCATGCTAAGCGGACAGGAGTGTGTTAGAGTTGTATGTGACAAGTTTGTGTTATAAGTCCACTGGCTGTGAAAACGTAACCACGATAACATATCCGTATAAAACCTAAAGTGACGAAATTTCTGACTCATTTAATGGCCGACACACTGTGCATAAACCGGGTGGCCATGTACTCATACTGTCACTTGATATTAAAGCTATACATAATGTGAAATACACATTGTGACTGATAAGAATAAAGCTGGTAATATCATTTTTTCTTTATTTTATCATTATTTAACTAATCTTTAACATTACAAAGTCAACAGATAAAAATGACACCAATATTGTCCAGGTGTAATTGATTGGCATTTTTGCAACAAACTAATTAGGTACCTACTGCTTATCTACTTTGCAAATACTGTTTTTAATTTCTGTAAAACTGTCTCTCAGCGCAATAAAGAATATTCGTTCATTCATACTCTCGTCGTCATTAAGGCAAGGTATCAAGATCTTTGTCCTTAATGTTTGGTGATTTTTTTATTTTTGAATAACGTTACACAATGTTATTGGATTTTTTTATTATGTTGAATTATTTAACTTGATAAGTTTCGATAAGATAGACAACAATACAATAAAATTTATGGTTCTTTTTCACAAATACGTACGAATGTTTTGAAGATTGTAGGTACATAAAACCATATTTAATACACAAAATTTCATAATTTTTCACACAAATTATCGAAAATTTAGTTTCAAAGATATTTTTTTTAAATAAAGATCTGTCAAAACTGTTTTCCAAATTAAATTTTATGTGGAGTTCTGTGAGATATCGAAATCAAATTATATATGAAACTCACTAACTAACATTTGAATTCGTAGCTGTGTGTTTGAACTTGCTAATTACCAAAATACTTAGAAATATTCAAATAAATTAAGTGCTAATGTAAATAATAGTATGCGGGGATAAACAACGATTGGTGCTGTGTTTTTTTTATAAATGAGACTTTTATTACAGTAACAAGTAGCAACACTACTCCAACGTCGAACAGAGTTTTAGAGAATAATCGGCAGATCCAACGATTTAAATCGATATTGAGTAATGTTAACTCGTAATCTAATCGTTTTATTGAAGAGAATCGTTCACAATCGATTTAGCCTTCACCTATTTATATTCTAAGAATATAATAAAGAAAACTTCATCAAACTTTTGGCTTTTCGATGTTATATAATTATAGGGGAGTCCGTAGCTACTACGTGGGCCGGTGCCGGCGAGGAACCGGTCTAATTCCTCGCCATCAGATATGTTGAAGCGTTAAGCAATCATATATGGTAAAATATGTCAAATACGTCAAGAAAAAATATATACTCGTATACTAGCTGCCCCAGCGAACTTCGTACCGCCATAAAAAAGAGGGGTTTGTGGTAGAAGAGTGAAAATTTAGCGTTGTATGTATTTTAATCCAGGGTGTCAGCTAACTCCATGGCAAATTTTATTAAAATCGCTCCAGCCGTTTAAACGTGAAGAAGTAACAAACATACACACTCACAAACTTTGGCCTTTATATTATTAGTGTGATTTATCCGGTCAACTCAGTCATGTGTAGGCATTAAAGCCTATAAATTCTAAGATGTACAATATGGTGTTGGCCTTGATTCAAAGGGTGTCGGTTATTAGATAAATACTTAATTAAGCATACTCATACCAAAGTTTAATCAGGAAGTCTTGAGTTATTTAAACTAGTTTAAAGAATTCAAAAGTCAACTCTAATTTTCAACTAGTTCAACAATGACATAAAAACAATCATTAAGAAATGTTTAATTAAATACCCAATCTTTCGCTATCCGATCGAATACACTAACCAATTATGCTATGCCGTGTCGAATTCTTTCTAGCCTTACTTACGCTGCAAGGCAGCGCCATCTCTTTGCATTGTAAGTAAACCACAATGTCAAATAAATACCTTTACAACTATTAAACATTTGAAAGAAGAAATAGCAATTAAAGTTATAATTTTTATTTTTTAAGCATGTAACTGCTCCATGTTTAAATCTAAGGAAAAGATTGTATATTAAATGCACTCGCCTGTGCATTCGCCCGGGTTGCAAAGGGTGCGGGTTCGTTCCCGTCAGCTGCCTGGCCCACGTGGAATTCTTTCTAATAATAATTTCTTTAGATTTAAACATCTAGCAGTTACTTACATGCTTAAAAAATAAAAATTATACCCAATCTTTAAAAGTGAAAAAGTCTTATTACATCACCACATTTATTTATTCATTCGTCTCTAGCATATCCCATTACTTTTTAAGTGTAATTAAAATATTCAGACCTTATCGACAAGCATCGGTTCAGTGGTAGAAAGCTCGCCAACTACGCTGGCGGGCCGATTCGATCCCAGCCGAAGAAGAAGTATTTATATTAATGATTTCATAAGTTTCACTTGCATCATTGCTTATAAAACCACGCCACCTTTTTTTCCAGGAAAGGAAAGAAATGAGGTTAAGGTACAGTACAGCCCTTTTTATTTAAAATTATACTGGTCTGCAAAACTAAGAACCACACTTTTAAAATTGTAATAACTTTTTAAGCACACAAGATATACTTCCGAAATAAGAAGGTTTTTTTATTATAAATATCTTATTTGTTTAGGTAAGATTTTTTTTTATTTAAACATGATATTTAATTTTGCAGACCACTGTAGCATATAAAATATAATTATTAACCTCATAAAACTTTTCTCATACCACTGTCCTACAGTTGAACTTCTGGATAGCTATAATAATGTATACACTACATAATTTTATCTACATAATTATCATTAATGCAACTATTAAAAACCTAGCTCAATACTTAACAGTAAAACAACTACATAGTTTATTCCCACATAGCACTGTTATAACTTACACCGTATGTAGAAATGTAGATCTTCCAGATTTCCCTGTCTTTCAATTACTCTTTGAGTTTGTAAACATTGCAACGTCGAAACAATACTGTTTGGTAAGTAC